ACACTTTTCAATATGACTTTTTGCCGATCAGGAAAGTCGAATGATTATTCACTTCGATAACGATGATCAGAACAATTTTTTTGTCGTCCGATTATGAACTGAATTATTTGGAGATCTGAGGGTGAGGGTGTGTGAGGGTGAGGGTGAGGGTGAGCACTTGGTGCTGAACGGTCGTTATTACTCAACTGTCGGTCGCTCAAGTGGCGGTCGCTCAAGTGTCGGGGTCGCTCAGAAAAATTCTATAGACTTCTATACATTTCATGAAAGAGAGGGCGTAGGGCAAGAATAGTTTTATTTTGAAGGGACAGAAAAAAATAAATTACCTTTCGCCTAGTGTTGATAGGAACAGTTACATGCACACTGTACTTGCAACAGAGCGAAAAAAACCTTTTCTTTTATCGTATCTTGCGCCATATGTATCCTATACAACGAACGAATAAATATCCAGGATATCTGCTCGGAAGTGCCAGATCTTCTACTCATCGCAAACGATTGGATTCTGATATCTACTAGCATGATACGAAAGACAAATGTATCTATCTTTTTCAACGATGACTCTATTGATGAAAACTTCATACCAGTTTATTGTGAGTTAATCAAAGCTAATAAACTGAACATATATTGCAGAACATGCCTCCCATACAAAAAAATATGACACTTAACGGAGTTTTGAGTGAAATTAAGGCGTTAAATTCCGTTAAATGCATTTTTTACGCTATTTCACGGCCAAAACTTCAAGAAAATCCGTTTAATTTTTGCTCACGCGTGGAAACGTGTGCGTTTTTTAACGCTTTTTCACGCGTTCCATCAATTTTAACGGAAAGTGCAGCGTTTTCGGTCGTTAATCTATGAAACGCGTTTATTATTAGGTCTTCTAATGTTTCTGCATCTTTTATCACTAACCTACTGCGCGAAAGTCTTGGCACAAAATGTTCGTCATTTTCAGAATACTTATTAACAACTGTTGAGAATCAAAAGCCGTCAGTTAGGATCAGACTTTTGTGTTATTTCCGAATATATGTTCAGATTTTTTTGTCTAGTTTAATGCTGATTAACTGTGAGCAAATGTTTGAAAGAGCCAAAAATAAAGTCTGTACGCAAAAAATAGGAGGTTTTGCGTAAGCTGTAGCTTGTGCGGGTAGTATTTCGAGGCAGTTTGAAATCGGTACCATTGTAGAACATTTAATTCTCTATAAAATGAGGTATTACAGCGGCTTACAACTTGAGAGACTCAAAAGTTATCAAAGTTTTTCTGAGAGCTACTGTCTAGGTAAAACAGCATTCTGTTAAAAAAGTGATTTTTCAAAACCTGCCTTTTAAAATCAGTAAGTTTGAAACATATTTGCCAGAGAGAAAAGTAGAGAAAGCAGTTTTATAGCGCAAACTTTGCTCTAAAAAACCAAAACTGCTGTATTAAAGGATGTTCCATGTTTTGAGTTCAGTAAGTTTAATGAAAATACAATAATAGACCAAAAATATTCAGACCTCATTTCTGGCTCTCATTTGCTCACAGTTAATCAACATTAAACATTTTAAACTAGAAAAAAAAGAACACAAAAGTCTGATCTTAACTGACAGCTTTTGACTCTCAACAGTTGTTAATAAGTATTCTGAAAATGAACGAATATTTTGTGCCAAGACTTTCACGCAGTACGTTATTACGTTTACGATGTTTTTACCGAAGGCAAATATCAGGAGACAAACGGGTTCAAATTCACCTCCGATATTATATTTTATATTTATATAGGCTTTTTCATCCTGTAAAGAAGCATGTATATAGTGTGTTGGTAATCTTCTTACCAGGGGATACTGCTTCTTCTTCAACAACATTTATTGTTGCACAAAACCAGATTTTTGATGACGAACATTTGTTGTATAATAGTACTTTAAATGACTTTAATGTATAAGAAAATATTGGATCGAATTGTACACAACCACCAATGATCAAAAATCCTTCAACTTCAACTTCCTGTTCGACTAGACATATTTTTGACGATATATGATCCATAATGTGTTGTCCCGTTATTAATATTTTGGTTTTTATGGTCACAATTACTCCATCATAACGAAATAGAACGAAATTCTGTTTATCATTTATTAATCGTTTATAAAACATCACTATAGCCAGGCAATGACTAACCCACATTATTTCCACTCATGTCGCCAAAATCAAAAATGTTTTATGCGTTATTCAAGTGAATAACACAAAAAAGAATGCAAAAATATAAGTGGTGTAACGCAAAAAATGGTTACAAAGCCAAAATTCTGTAAAATTCTGCATATTTTTCTAGGACAAAATATTAATCGCCGACTAACACAGAATTTTGTAAATATTTCGTTTTAATACAGAATTTTGCAACTATTTTGTTCCAGAAGATGCAACATTTTGCAGAATTTCGGATTTGTAGCCATTTTTTGCGTTACGCCACTTATGTTTTTGCACTGTTTTTTACGTAACCACGCAAAAAAAACGTTTTGCAATTTCTACATGGGCAGTTTCCACCCGCTTTCTTTTAATGCACGTTGTTCGACTCCTGGAGTTGTTGCAGTTTCAATTAAGTGTTAAAAATTGCGATTGTCCATGTTTAGTATCTGAAGTTAAACGAGTAAGAAAGTTTTTGAATATAAGCGAATAAAACCCACATTATTTGAGAAAACTCAATACAGAGATATTGACCGTATTATATAACACTTGAAGACAAGTGGTTCCTTTCAGGTTCACGGTGCTGACACAAGCAGGAGAGTAAGAGAGTAGAATAAAACCTCTTATTGAGCATATATAGTCAACATCGAGTACTATCTAGCCAAGAGCATGGGAAAATATAAATGTCGTTTGTGTGCGAACATATGCACATAGCATGACGGAATATTGTTAGCGCAAAGACTTTCGCATAACTTTTTAACCTGAAAAATATGTTATGCCATTGAGTAGCATTTATATCGATTCTATGAGCCCACCTGCTATAAACTATGAATTCATTCCGTACAAGACCCTTACGAGAGAACCTCCCGAGGTGATAAATCGCTTCTTGATCGACATCTAGGGAGTTGTAGGTTCTCGACCATACTGATTCTGAATATTAACCCTTTCCAGCCGGATGTTGCCATATGGTAACATTTTTTGCTGTGTTTTAAAAATTGCCGGCTGGAAAGGGTTAACGGGCGTTCCTCAGCCCTTCAAAGATCCAACTTTCTGGAAAACTAATCAACCTCGTCCAAATAGTCTTCCATATCTTTTCATCTTTTAACAAATTCAACAACAAGTTTGTTTCTTCCTCAGACCACCACGATCTTTTCA